CCGTCCAGTGCTGAGCTCCAGTCCGACACAGCTTCTCTGGTCTGTCTGTCCAGTCAGTCTGTGCCTTTTGCAGATGTGAGCTGGTTGGCTGCTGGGAGTCCAGTGAGCAGTGGGATCTCTACCAGCACTGCTGTTCAGAGACCAGACCAGACCAGACTTACCAAATCAGCAGCTCTCTGACCATCCAGACATCAGACTGGAACATGAATAAGGTTTATACACGTAAAGTGTCCTTGGGCTCACAGACTTTAAGTTCAAGTTCAAGTTCAAATTTTATTCGCCACATGCAGGTTGCCCTGCAGAGGAATGGACCCGCCCCCCGACCTTACACACACAACACAGACATCACATGGGGATACAAGTCGGAGAACGGTTACATTACAGAAAATCACTGAGTTTTTGTTCGGCTCCAGCCTTGAGCCCACAGCTGGCACCAAAGGGATAGCCGCATTATGATGGTGGTTTTACTTTAGTGCGAACAACTCATGAGAATTTCAAAGCTGTTCTTAACACTCCAGCACTGGTCTCTCAATCTCCCGTGGGAGAGCCACGAGCTTTTCCATGATGTTATCAAACTTGCACTCCGTGGTCTTGTCATTCTTGTGCTCAAAGAGCAGATTCTGAGAACTCACGACCACAGTGAGCTGCTCCATGATGTGATCCAACTTTCGCTCAGAGGTCTTATTCTAAGTAGTCACAGCAACCGCAAGCTTCTCCAAGATCTTATCCATGCTGCACTCAGTGAGCCCATTCTGAGAAGTCACGCCTCGTCCCATCGTTTCAATCCCAGCAGGCAGCCTTGGGGGGGTTTGAACAGCCGGTTCCGCTTTCTTAATTCATCGATAAGCCAGGGCCAAGCCAGCCCCGATCAGCAAGAACCCTGTTATCATGGTTCTGAATAGATATCTTCAGCGTCCTCGATCGACAGTCCCGCCAGGCACACAACCCTCCATTTATGCCAACCGTCCATCGTGTATCCGGCAGGGAAAGTACCTCCAGGACACTCGGGCTCACCCGAGCCCAGACTTCTCGTTGAGAAAAGGGTGTCAATAGCATTCAGGGACCAGTTGATCAAATCCATAATTCTCTTTTAGGTTTTAGAGAACAGACTGTGAGAGAGTGTTACAGGGAAAGTAATAGAAAAACACGAGACTAGACAAGGACATAAGAGCTAAGCAGGAAAGATAAGGGAGAGGAGGAGAGGAGAAAAGTGCGACCGCCTTCGCCAAGAGCCAAATCATTTTACACAAAATTATCAAGAAGTCAGAATGTCCCACTGAATAGTCGAGAATCAGAATGTGCATTTAGAATATGCCTCTTTATGCTTCTGCTGTTTGCTAAGTCTGCATGTTCTGTCTACCTTATATAGCACGTAAAGATCTAGAGAAACGTATTCATGTATTTATCACTTCAAGACCAGATTATTGTTACTCTCTTTACTTGGGACTCCAATTTTCCCTCCTTCAGCGATTGCAATTGCTAAAAAATGCTGCAGCACGTCTCTTATCCGGCACTAGAAGGTATGATTCCATCACCCCATTCTAGCCAACTTACACTGGCTTCCTATTAAATATCGATTTGATTTTAAGATCTTATTGTTTACTTATAAAATTCGAAATAATAGGGCGCCAAATTACTTAGCTGATCTCCTCTGTCAGTATAGCCCTTAGAGAGCACGAAGATCATCGGGTCAACTGCTCTTAGTGCAACCTAGATCTCAGCTGAAGACTAGAGGAGACTGTGCCTTTGCTGCTGCCGCACCCAAATTATGGAATAATCTTCCTCTTGACATTCGCGCATCTGAGTCTATTCAATCTTTTAAATCACATCTAAAACCTTACTTGTTTAACCTAGCATCTGAAGCTAATTAGAGTGATTTTCATCCGGCTCTGCATTTGCATTTTGTAATTATTTTATATCTGTAGTTTATATTTTTTATATTGTGATTTTATCTGTGTTATGGTATTACTGGAAAGCACTTTGGTGTACTTTGGTCTTTAAATGTGCTATACACACAAATTTGATATGATACATGTTAGAAATCACAGTAAAGCAAAATGTTTAAGTCATGTGTTTATTTGCAGATATTCAGAGAAACTGCTATTTTTCATATATCAATAAAAGCATTGGCTATACAACATTTGTTTTACTTTTTTAGTGAGCAAGAATACACTTTCAAAGTAGCCACTAACATAAATTCAGAATGACTAACCTGAAATTGTTGCATTTTAGTAAGGTGAAGATATGAGAACATAATCAATGTGTAACCACATTTAACTGTTTTACTCTAAAGAAATGCTCTGAAAATGCCTGTTTTTCCATATTTGTAGACTGGAGACTATCATTACACAATTCTGCTTGAAAACTCAAAGGGAAAGGTGACACTGGTTTAAAACATCGGTTGTAAATTTGCAAATAAATCTTCACACTCAGTGAAGCATCACATCTCTCCTCCTCCCTCTCTTCCTGTCCAGGATACATCTGCAGGTCTCGGTATCTTTTATAACTTCATGCAAATGAAGTCGTGCCAGTTCTCTGTAACATTAGATGAGACTTTCCTGGACTATAAAATGTGATTTATATTATTATATTTTCAGGCTGCATTTCACTATAATTTGGTAAATTAAAGGCAGTTTACCTCTTTGGTTTGGTCTATGAACTTCTCATAACAAAATAAACTAAATGGAGTCCAGCTCTGTAACTAATCTTCACTGCAGCTCTACTCTCAACTCTACTCCTTTACAGTTCACTTGGTCTTCAGGAAGTCCCTGTATACTCTCTCCTCATGAGTATTGTTGTGCACCAGTAGGAACCCGGAATCCACTGGACCAGAGACACACACTCCTCCACCATACTGGAGGATTTGGAGTCCAGGTTTTTCTTCATTCTACCAACTATGACACTGACCATAGCCAAATACAAAACTAGTGAAGAAACACTCAGAAAAAGTAAAAGGGGAAAATGCCAGTGACTTCCACGTGTAAAATCATTTGTTTTGATTGTTCTTTCATCATTGCCCGTGTTGTGCACCTGTTGTTGATTGAATTAAGACTAAAGCAGCTGAAATTGATTAACAATCTAACAAACCTCTGCTACTTGACTGTTCAGACCAGAAGTTTAACATACTTGATGCGATACTCTTAAAAAGTGTTTCTTTAATTTTTTTGGAACATCATATATTTTCTGTGCTTCCCTTTCACTGGATGTTCTTAATGGTTTTTCATAGTGTGGAAATTTTAAGCTGAAAACTTAATGTTTCTGCAAATAATGCTAATATCATTACTGTCATTTTCTAGACTTTCAGACTTTTATGGAATTTGCAGTTGCTGAACACTGTGTATTTTCTGGCTGCAGCCTCTGTGCTCCTGTGCTGATTAACAACCCCATCTACTACTTAACTGCAGCTGGGGCTGATCAGCTAATCAGGCTCTCCCTCTACCAGGAGGTGACTCTGACTGGAGGAGAGAGCTGTGCTGGGAGACTCTGCAGTCTATTACTGTCATACATGGGACGGCTCTGCTAGCAGTGGGGTATCACAGTGATTTACACTGTGACAAAAACCTCCTCACAGATACTTTTGCTTTATTATCAGGATGCCAAAGAGCTTAATAGACTCCTCCAACAAACACACTGAAACCCCACCACCTTCAAATACTGTGTTATTTGTTTTGTTTTTTATTTTAATATTAATCATGAAAAAAGCCAAAAAGGGGACTATTCAAAAATACAAAACAGGAGACCAATACTGTATGCTGTTGTCTATAGGTAATATAACTTTAATGGAAATCAGACTCAACTCTTTTTTTTTTCTTTTTTTTTTCTTTGTATGTCCTGTCCGACACTGTTGCAATCAGAATTATTGTCTCAAAGCCAAGGAAAATTTCCAACAGATTTATTTTTTGCAAGCTGATCGTTACGGCTTTTGATATAATGGTCCACTTGATTGTCACAGTTTGTTCGATATTTATTATTTCTGTATTGATTTCTTTTTTTACTTTTAATTATTATTTAATTATTACAGTCGAAATGGACAGAACCAGGGGATAGGAAAGATGAAGAAAAGAGAAGTTGGGAAGAGGCTCAAGAGAAGGAGAGGGAAAGAAAAACAGAAAGAAAAGACACTAAAAATCTGTTTGATCACCTGCTTGGAAAAAAAGAAACAAACAAAAAGAGAACAACACAGTATGGAACCCACAGCAACATCCAACATAAGTATAAGTAACAGTAAACAATAAATATTGAATGTTACTGAGCAGCACACAAGACCGACAAATCACAATAGGTTTAGAGGCAGCAGCCAATCAATGGTGTATGTCTGTGAGTACTTTTTTGTACTCACCTGTGTGCAAACAGATATTCACCACCAGCATTGTGCACCAGGATTAGAAGAGTTACATCCTGAGTGTTAGTAACAGTGGTGCTCAGTTTCATCAGTTTGCAATAATATGTGTCACAGTGATAATCAGATTGTTTAACTCTCAAGATGTAGACGAGAGAAACTTTGTTTTTGTGAATCGTTTGTATCACAGTGATCTGTATTTGAACTATTTGTTCAGTTGTTCAATATTCATTAATGACGTAACATTTTATAAAATGTTCTCCTAACCCTAACCACTTCGGTTTCATGTGAGGTTACACGAAAAGTTATGCATTTTCTTTGACTTATTATAACAATTGATTGTAACAGTTAATGGGGTTCTGCTCTGTTTTTTGTCCAAATATAAAAACTGGTAATGGTTAAAGCATCAATAATAAATCTTAAGAACATAGAAACCAACTTATAATAATAAAATATAACACCACAATTTCAAGGGAGAGGAGGGAGACATCACTATCACCAATAATTATTAATACAAAAACAGAATTACCCTCCACTGAACATAAATTATCCAAAACATCACAAACTATGCAGGTTTAGCTCCTCCTCCTGTCAGTCTCTCTGAGTTTCAGTGTCGTATTTAATGGTTCACACCTCCTCTCCTCCTACAGAAGCAGTTCTATCGCTTTGTAAGTTCCAAGTCTCAACACACAGTGACAACATGCTGGTGACTCTCTGTGCTCTCATCACTGCTCTAACATGTATGGGACCTCATTTATACTTCAGATCAGTAGTTATTTGTAGGATTCATATGTGATTGTGTTTTTAATGACTTCATGTCTTCTTGTTGTTTGCAGGTGTGAGTGGTGTGACGGTGCTGACACAGAAACCTCCTGTTCTATCAGTGAGGAAAGGAGAGACAGCCACCATGGACTGTAACCTGGGGACTGTTACTGACTATGTATATTGGTATAAACAGATTCCAGGAGGAGTTCCTCAGTTTGTGCTGTATTTTCGTTATGACTCTAGTTCTCCAAGCTATGGTTCTGGGTTCTCTGCTCCAAAATTCACATCCACTCATCAGTCAAAAACAGATTATCGTTTGATCATCAGCAATGTGGAGGAGGGAGACTCTGCAGTCTATTACTGTAAGACATGGGACGGCTCTGTGAGAGAGTACGTATCACAGTGATTTACACTGTGACAAAAACCTCCTCACTGATACTTCTGCTTTTTGATGCTCTTTTTTTCACATGCTGACAAAAGACCCATTCAGCAAACTCAGTGTAAACCCACCACCTTCAAATAGTGTGTTTATTGTTATTTTTTTAAATTTATTTTAATGTTCATCAATGAAAACCCACCAACTTTCGAGAGTGTTTTTATAAACACTGAATTACTCTTTTTGATACATTTAAGCAATCATCACTGAAAGTATATAAAATATCAAGGAATATGACGACCACCAACAACACAAGTTGTCACATATATGTACACAATTATGTACGTGTTTTTAAATAAGAGCAATTTGATAAATGATTGTCTAAAATTCAGATAACTGTCAAATTCTAGCTGCAGTAAATCACATTAATCAACCTAAATAGATACTGTTAAAATTCAAAAATGCTTCATATGAAGTGAAAATGCAGCAAAATTAAATTTTATCTGTTGCTTCTCTTCTCACTGCAATTCTTTTCACATCTTACCTTAATATTAAAGGATGTTTACACCCTCACACTGACAACATGCTGGGGACTGTCTGCTCTCTCATCACTTCTCTAAAGTGTAAGATGTTCTTCTCATCTGTTTCATAGCCCATCGTTTTGGAGAAAGACATTTCACTCATGTTCTTTCTGTGTTTGTTGGCACATGTTAATGCAGCAGTAGTGTTTATCCAGATACCTGCTGTCCACAAGGTTTCTCCAGGTCAAGAAGTTGTTCTCAGCTGCAACATGGTTCAATTATGTTAGATGGTCTAAACAAGTTCCTGGAGGGGTTCCTCAGTTTGTCATTCTGGCAGCTCACTTGGCTTTAGAACAGGTTTTGGTCTGGAAGTCCAGCAGTTCATCCAAACAAAAGGCACTTAGCCTAAAACAGACATAGATACGTTTATCCTACCACAAAACAATAAGAGAAGGTACGACCTCTCCCATGCTCCCAGGATGTGGGTGTGAATGTCAGAGCACTCTGAAATGCACACGAAGTCTTTGCAGACTCCTAAGGATCACACATCCTATCACTACACAATTGATTATACACCTCTAAGCATATATGGTTAAATTTTTCTAAGCATAAATGACAATCAACAATATAAACCTGACATCATGAACAAAGCAAACAGGGGAAAATCCACATTATTCAGCCAACAACTACTCATATGCAAAATCCTATACAAAAAAGCAGACCTACATTTTATGCATGTATATATAAGTAATATAAATTTGGACACCAGACTCAACTCTTAAATAGTTATAAAAATACATCCAGCAGCATTAAATGTAAGAAAACAAGAAAATGTGTGATGTGTGACAACAAGGACATTTGCATTTAAACTAAAACCATTCAAGGAACTGCCTGTAATGGTTCAAGTCTGTGATGGAGCTCCTCAGCATGTAGAGAGTTTTTCAATGAGGACAATTTGTAACAGGATTCTCCTCAGACCGACTAAATTCAACATCATCATTAGACTTGGATTAAGAGTTAAAAGGAGGAGGGTAAGCATTGTACTGCACTGAAACATAGACTCTATTGCGTAGAACATAACACAATCATGAATACTGAGACAAAAAACAAACAAAACACAACTGAGTGACACTACAGCTTTTATGAATTCTGAAGAGTTAACATTTCCAACCATTAATTGTAGAACAAAACACGTGAATACAAAAATGAATACTAGTGTCTAAAACCAAAATGTTTTAGTAAATGCAAATTAGTCAGTCCTCTAATTGTTGTGTTTAACTCTCAAGATGTAGATGTGAGATGCTGGTATTTGTTTTTGTGACTCAGGAGAACTAAATCAAAACGCCTGTATCACAGTGATTTAATTTGTGAGAAATATCACAAAACTCTTGTGGCTCAAGTTTGCAATAAAAAAAGGCGCCCACGCAGTTCTAGTACTAAAATAATTCATAGTTCAATTGTTCAGTATTCATAAATGGCTCAACATTATATGAAATATAATTCAGATCTGGCGTTTGGAACTATTTTGGTTTTCATGTGACGTATGACCCTGAAGGTAAGCGAGTCATGGACTAAAGTAAAACAGTATGTTGGATGTGCCACGCAATGCTCAATTACATGGGTGGGAACTAGTGCGTCAGCGCAGTTAGCTCGTTAAGGTGTTGGCCGTCCAGCCCCACGCACGGGGCGATCCGCGGTAGCTCGTTAACTGAGATTTGCTGTGTTGTGGCGTTAACCTCATTTCAGATTAACGTTGACAGCACTAGTGGAAACACAATGAATATGACTGCACATTTACGCCGACATCATCCTAGTGCAAAGACAAGTGAAAGCAGACAAAAACAACAAGCACGCGTGCTACAAACTTTACCCGAGTCATTTAGACAGCCGTTAGCACATGATTCTCCTTATGGGGACCTATATGTTTAATATGCTGCCGAGAATATAGCCCAGAAGAAGCGTATAGTATAGCTTTTATTTTGGAAAGAGCCTTTTCTCTTTAATAAACTCTCTTTTCCAAAGATGAGTGATTTCTCGATCAGATAGATTTATTACTTTGTTGTTTCAGCAACATTAAATTTAAAAACTGTACTTTTGAGTTAAAATATATATTTATAATTTTAATAAATTACAAATTAAAAAAGCATGAACATTTTTTTGTATTGAAAAAATATCGAACCGTGACACCAAAGTATCGAACCGAACCGTGAATTTTGTGTATCGTTGCACCCCTAATACATACATCTTCTTCCACTTATCCAGGGCTGGGTCACAGGGGAAGCAGCCTAAGCAGAAGAACCCAGACCTCCCTCTCCCCAGCCATCTCCTCCAGCTTCTCTGGGGGAACAACAAGGTGTTCTTAGGCCAGCCGAGAGATATGCATATCCGGGGTCTGCCCCAGGGAATCCTCCTGGTGAGACAAGAGGGAACACCTCCCCAGGAGACATAGCAAACAATTTATCATAATAAAATGCAGCAGCACACAATCACCAATAATTATTAATACAAAAACAGAATTACCCTCACTGAACATAAATTACCCAAAACATCACAAGCTATGCAGGTTTAGCTCCTCCTCCTGTCAGTCTCTCTGAGTTTCAGTGACATATTTAATGGTTCAAACCTCCTCTCCTCCTCCTACAGAAGCAGTGCTCTCTTTCTAAGTCACAGGTCTCAACACACACTGACAACATGCTGGTGACTCTCTGTGCTCTCATCACTGCTCTAACATGTATGGAACCTCATTTATACTTCAGATCAGTAGTTATTTGTAGGATTCATATGTGCTTGTGTTTCTCTTGACTCTATGTCTTCATGTTGTTTGCAGGTGTGAGTGGTGTGACGGTGCTGACACAGAAACCTCCTGTTTTATCAGTGAGGAAAGGAGAGACAGCCACCATGGACTGTAACCTGGGGACTGTTAATAACTATGTATATTGGTATAAACAGATTCCAGGAGGAGTTCCTCAGTATGTACTGAGGTTTTATCATAGCTGGGGTTCTCCAAGCTATGGCTCTGGGTTCTCCTCTCCAAAATTCACATCCACTCATCAGTCAACAAAAGATTATCGTTTGATCATCAACAATGTGGAGGAGGGAGACTCTGCAGTCTATTACTGTAAGACATGGGACAGCAATAATGCTGTATCACAGTGATTTACACTGTGACAAAAACCTCCCCAATAATACTTCTGCTTTTTGATGCTCTATTTTTCACATGCTGACAAAAGACCCATTCAGCAAACTCAGTGTAAACCCACCACCTTTAAATAGTTTTTGAATTATTTTAATGTTCATCAATGAAAACCCAACAACTTCAGACAGTGTGTTGATAAACACTGAATTACTCTTTTTGATATATTTTAACATTCATCACTGAAAGTATAAAATATAGAGGAATACGACAACCACCACAAATTGTCATATATATGAACACAATTATGTGCGTGTTTTTAAATAACAGCAATTTCACAAACGGTTGTCTAAAACTCTGATAACTGTCACATTCTAGCTGCAGTAAATGACATTATTCAGCCTAAACAGATACTTTTAAAGTTACACAATCAGTTTTAAAAATGTTTCATATGAAGTAAAAATGCAGCTAAATTGAATTTTTTCTGTTGCTTCTCTTGTCACTACAATCATTTTCATATCTCAGCTGAATATTAAAGGATGTTTACACCTCACACTGACAACATGCTGGGGACTGTCTGCTCTCTCATCACTTCTCTAAACTGTAAGACGTTCTTCTCATCTGTTTCATAGCCCATCGTTTTGGAGAAAGACATTTCACTCATGTTCTTTCTGTGTTTGTTGGCACATGTTAATGCAGCGGAAGTGTTTTTCCAGATACCTGCTGTCCACAAGGTTTCTCCAGGTCAAGAAGTTGTTCTCAGCTGCAACATGGTTCAATTATGTTAGATGGTCTAAACAATTTCCTGGAGGGGTTCCTCAGTTTGTCATTCTGGCAGCTCACTTGGCTTTAGAACAGGTTCTCTGTCCCCAGAGGTGGGAAGTAACCAAGTACAAATACTTACTTACTGTACTTAAGTACAAACCTGTTCTCAAATGCAACATTGAGAGAGATGATAGGAATTCTATTAGCTGTATAAACAAGTTCCTAGAGAAGATCATCTGTATGTTTCTCAGATTTCTCCATTCTGACAGCTCAAAAGCTTTGAAACAAGATTCTCCTCAGAAAGATTCAACTCTACGTCCTCATCAAACATTAATTACAATTTAACTATCAAGTTCGCAGAAATAGAAGACACTGTACTTATCACAATGTGTTACAGACCTCTTGGCAGTACATATGCTTTCTTAGACTCATTCACTTGAGTATAGTCCAATCAAGAAAATTCAGTGTAACATACAACGTTCAGATAATGTCCTATTAAACATTGGATTGCTTATTTTTTTTTATTCTTTTCTAAACTTTAACCTGCTCAAATACAACATTAAAAAAAGCTGAAAGCTTTTATGTCAGCTGGTACAAACAGGTTCCTGGTTCTTCTTCTCATTTCTGAGATTTCATCATTCTCACAGCTCACCTGCAATTTCAGCAGGATTCTGCTCAGACAGATTAATATCTAAATCCTGACCAAACAGTGATTTGCAGTCTATTATCAATCATGCAGAGACAGGAGACTCTGCAGTGAGTTCCTGTCAGACATGGGAAGACTCTCCCAAGAAAGCTGGTTCATAGAGAAGCAGACTGTGGCCAAAATCTTATTGAGAGACAGTACAGCTCTGATTAATGCTGATAAAATAATGAGGACTTTATTAAATCTTGCACAAAACAAGTGACATGAAGGAATAAACATGACTACACAGAGAGAGACACAGTTATAAAATACAAACAGATGAAGTGAATGAGATGTTGACAGTGAAAGTTAGTCTCTACAGGATGTTTCAGTTCCTCTCCCCTCATCAGTGACAGTCAGGAGGTTTTTGTACAGCCATGTATACAAACTGAATCACTGTGGTATTCGGACAAGGCACCAAGTTGGTTATGACAAGTAAGTACTTTTTAACTGATCATAAAACAAGAGAGAATTTGCGAAAATCTGCTGATGACTACTTAGTTCAATATGTTTTTTGTTCTGCATCATTTTTTATGATTTTGTAGAATCTGAAATAGTTTCAGGTTGTCTCATATACAGGAGACATGAATGACATGTTTAAAAAATGTGAAATGGGGTCAAACCAGTTCTATGAAAATGGTGTGAAATATGCTGTTTTTTTGTTTCTGTTATTGCTTTTAATTTATGTTTAGGTTGGTATTTCAAAAACATACATAGGCCCGTTTTCTCTTTCTTCAATAGTTGTTAACACTGTTACTAAAGTTCAAAATTACTTTGAAGTGATTTGAACTTTTCTTTGATATGAAAGAAAATTACCCACATTATCTGACATGTTATGCAGAAATGTGTAGAATTAAATCAAAGACATCTTACATGGAAAATTAAACAGTGACTAATCATATTTTATACTGTAAAAATACAAAAAGAAATTCAAATGATATGTTGGATCCATATATTTTAGTTCATATTTTATACATTAGTTTTGTTTTCTTCTAACTTCATAACAATTGTTATGTTTATTCCATATTGACTCTTCTTGATTTCTTCTGGTTTTATGACTTCATGTCCAATTTCCTTCTTTCCTTTCATTTCTCTTTTTTTGTTTGTCCTTCATGTATTTTCAGGCTCCAGCCTCCCTCCTCCTGTCCTGACAGTCTTCCCTCCGTCCAGTGCTGAGCTCCAGTCCGACACAGCTTCTCTGGTCTGTCTGTCCAGTCAGTCTGTGTCTTTT